TTTCAAAAGGACTATCTGGGACCACGGTGCCTTTGGACCCACTAGCATTCCCAAAATGTAGATGGCTGGGAGATCCCTCCCTTCCACTTTTCTAACCATTTTGATTTACAAATGTAAAGGTGGCTGAGTACTCAATTTGTGGAACACGGCCTTAGCTGAAATACCTGGTGCAACCGATTTAATCTAACTAATGTATGGCGACGAATACCCCCTTTAAGCGATTTCTCCTAAAACAATCTGTCCATTTCATGGTGTGCATTAAGGCAGAGGAGATTCCAGCCAGTAGGACGTATAAAACACTAATTATGGCATGTTTTCCAAATAAATCTGGATGCAAATTAGCACTTTGGCATTTTTGCATAAAGTACACTTGTATAAACTACGCAAACTGAATGAAGTACCCCAGTGAAGCATAACCGGTTCATGCAGTGTACAGCCCACGATGGCTTGTGCACATCTAGTGAAGCCAGTAGGCCAACAAGAGCTGCATCTGTGCTGTGAGAGCCCTCATGATAAAATCAACCCACGGACAGCAACATCCACCGGCGAGGCGTTAGAGGTCCAGATATATGGCAGCAGTAGGAGCTTGAGCTTTGGCAGTTAACAAACATTCCGGCTGTCCAATGGTTGGCAAATTTCAACCGTAGCATCTACCATCTCCATCCTCAATCAGCTATAATTAGGGAGGCACTCCATTGGCTCATCAAGGACAAGGCGGTTTTACAGGTAAACACACATCCTACAGGACAATTCTGCTGAGCCATTCCTTAGCACCTTCGTGAATTGAGTGGACTAGCCTACCTGTCCTTGTGCTACTTCCACGCTTATATGCATGTGTGTATGCACCAATTACTTTCCGCTCTTCCTCTTACTGTTCTGTTTCATCTTGCAGGAATCAGTGCCTCATGTGCCTCGTTCCAGGACGTAGCGTTCTTCTTTTAGCATCCCACCTCCAATCTTTGAACCCGATTTCTTCAGGTAAACCTTAATGTCTGCTCGCCTCCCACACCCACGGAGACCATTAACGAGCTCACTGGTGAATCAT